AAATGATAAGAGTTTATAGTCGACCGATTTGTCGACCATCCTGTCACTATTAGGTAAGGGGTATGCGTTTTTGGGATAATTCCCGGTTAAGATCAATATAATCAACACACATACGCCACTTTCCATTATTTTTCTTAACAAGTACAACGTTGGAGAGCCAAGTTGAATACTGGACCTCGGAAATAAAAATTTCCTCTAGGAGGTCTTTTACAACTTTTTGAGCAGCCTCTGCTTTCTTGGGAGACTGCCAACGCCTACATTATACTATTTCCCTAGAGGTTGGATCCACAATAAGTTGCTGACAGGCGACCTCAAGGTCTAGTCCGAGCATCTCCGAAACTCTCCACGTGAACAAATCAGCATTCTCCCTCAAACAGGCTCCGAGCTACTTCCTCGCCAGATCGGGGAGTCCAACTCTAATCTTTACACCTTTGTTCGGATCCTTACCGAGGAGGATGATTTCAAAGTCTCCGTCGGGGACGGGTCAAAGAGGATATTGTTCGCCATTGGAGACCTCGACTTCATCTTTGTTGAAGCGGGTGTCAAGGTCAATGGAGTCGACACGGGGAGGGGGGTGCCTCACATTCTTCAGTCTGAGCGGGCTTGGCCACAAGGGAAGTTGTTCTGTCGTTGGTTCTCGACTTTGTGTCGACCATGTTCTATCCCTTTGAGGCTGCATTAAAGCACATTCTTGCAGCTTGAATGTCTCCAGGAATGGTGGCGATGCAACCCTTATTTGTGTAGAACTTCATCTTTAGATGAACTGTGGAGAGCACGACTGTCAACTCAGCCAACTTTGATCTTCCCGGGATGCAACTTTAAAGGGATTGGTAGTTGAACACTAAGAAACAGACTTTCACATGTTTGACGGTTGTCTTTATCTTGAATGTGACTAGCATCTCAATGTAGCCACATGGCTTAGAGGTAGAGCCCTTGAAGCCTTGCAGGTCGGACCTCACGTATGGTGACAAGTAAGACTTGTCGAGCTGTATAGTCTAGAACAATTGAGTGTACATGACGTCAATGAAACTCTCCTCATCGATCAAGATGTGATGCACGTCGAAGTTGGCCATCTTTACCCGCATGAGCAAAGGGATGTGGGAGTTGGGAGCTCCACCAGGCAGTTCCTCAAGGTAGAAAGTGATGGGCTTGAATTTTCCCCCAAACTTGTCAAGGGTTACAGTCTAGACTGGAGTCGCATTTATCAGCTCCTCAAACTTCCTTTTCACAGAATTCAGAGAGGGTTTCAAATCCCCCGCCAAAAATGAACACGGCAATGGGGAATTTCTCCCATCTGTTATGGGTAAATAAGATCTCCTCGTCTTCGACGTCGTCGGGGATGTAGAAATCCTCTGATTGCGAAACAGACATGGCAACTTGGTGGGGGCCATCTTCGTCAAAAGAACATGCATCCTTCTCGATCTCTTTCACCTCACGAGTGTTACAGCGAGGGCGTCGTTCTTCTTGTACTGCTCGGGTCTCCCCGCCTTAACGAGGGTCTCAATAACATCCTTCAGATGAACGCAGTCCTCGATAACATGGTCGTGACTCTGGTGGTAGTAACAATATTTAGTCCTGTCGACCCCAGGATTTGAGGATGTAAGTTTAGGTCAACAGACTTCGCCGTCCCTGAATTCAGCATTAGCACACTCGACGAGGATGCACTCGTAGGGAGCGATCAGAGGAGTGTACTCAGTAAAGCGTCTGGCAGGTCCTCTATGCTCACGAAGGTCGCAACACTTTTCATCCCTTCTCTTATCCCCGAGTCGTCGAGATGGTCCTGCATCGTTGTGCCTCAGGGCACTGGGTGTTCCGCGGTTCCTGGAGTCGCAAACATTATTGGCAGCCTCTTTCTCCTTGTACATGATGTAAGCTCGGGCTTTGTGGAGGAGATGATCGAATGACTTTGGCGACTCGATGCCAACTGCCATATGAAAATCGTTGCCTGGGAGGAGACCTTTCTCGAGCAGATACCTCTTCATACAATCGATGATAGGGACTTGAATGGCTTGATGGTTGAACCGATCAATGTATGCTCAGAGAGATTCATCGGTTTCTTGGATGATCGCTTCGAGGGGCGCATCGATCTTAGGGTGACACTGAGAAGTGGTGAAGTTATTGGAAAATCGGCTCTTCAGATTTCTCCAGGAAGTGATGGATTCAGGGACAAGTCCCTTGTACCATTCCATAGCAGTTTTCCTCAAAGTCGTGGGGAACAACTTGTACTTGATGGCACCCCCGATATTTTAGAATTTGAGCATTGCCTCAAAGTTGTCGACGTGGTCCTCAGGATCTGTCGAGCCATTTTAGCTGTTCAGAGGTGGAGGTTTCTCCATTTCCTTAGGGATGGAAGCCTCCATAATAGCTTGGGATAGCGGACCGTGGGGGTCATCTTTGTTGCTTCAGTTCTGAGGACCGAGACGAGGAGAAGTCATAGGGGTGTCTTCTATGACGAAGAGGGCTCAACGGCCTAGTTTTCTTCTCTCATTTCTCCTTGTCCTTTTTAGGAGTTGAGAAACATCGTTCTTTGTGCAGAGATGTATGGTCATGCTTATTGACAATTTCTTGTTGGGTCTTCTCTAGTCGAGGGTGTCGCCCGGTACGAAGGGGAAAAAGACTGTGGGAATGTCTTGTTGGTGTCTTAGCGGAGGAGCTCGCGAACGGGGCTCCTATCATCGAGAAGATGGGGTGCGCAAGTCAGGTCTCCTGTATCTTTTCGGGGACCTGTGGGTTTCTAGTATTCCATGGTGTTCGCCTTGTGCGAAGATCATGTAATTAGTCTTATTGATCACCGCGAATAAGGCTATGGTCATAGGGTGAGTATTCTCCAGTACAGGCATTTCCTCGTACGCTGCAGGTTCGTAGTTGTACCAGAGAGGCTAGTCAAGAGGATGTGTTGGAATGTAGGAAGAAACGTCTCTTCCATCCCTAACGTCGAGCTCGTGGCTGACAACGTTGTGGTTGTTGTCAAATTTGGCGAAATGAATGTTCGGATCATCGTTGTTAACTTGAGTGGCCATGACGATCGAAAGGTTGAAAGTTTGCTTTGACCTTTAGTTAGTAAAAGATGGGGAAGAAAGTTTCTCACAGACGGCTGCACTTATTGGACCTGATCATAAGGGATCTCCGATGACCAACAAGCTGGAACTGAATCGATGTTGAAGTGAAGTGAAAGTACTTGTAAGACATTCAGATGTCAAAGTAAGGTTAAGAGTAAATACGAGTAATATAAGTGTGTAAAACGAATGAATGATAGAATATTTATAGCCCTCAGCGTTGGGTTAAGATCCACGTATTGGACCAAATAGTTGAATCCAATAACGAAGACTGTCAGGGTTACGCGGGTAATGAAGTCCAACACATGACCACCTCTCTGGTCAACTGCCCCAAGATAATAGAAAAGTTGAACTCGTTATTCTCTGTGGGTAGGATGGATGTTTCAGATAGTCGTTGACCACGTTTCCCTCGTGGGCACTGAAGACATCCCCAACGGTTAATGACTTAAGTTGGATGCTATTGGGACATAGTATAAGTCTTGGATTGGGTCTGTCCCATGATGGGCCAAACGTCAGTCCAATCCAGAACAAATATTAACATAAATTGTTGCTACCATACTTCCGCTAATTTACTACCACAATACCGCTGCTATAAAGTGAAAGTGATTGATTATGTATAATTTGAAAAATCCATAACTAATAATTTATTAATTGAATGAAAAATATGTTACTAATGAAAGTAAAGTGATTTTGAAGAGTATTTACCATACACAATGAACAAAGAAGAATGATTGTTGTAATGATGAGAAGAGATGATAGATGAAAGAGACATAGATAAATGAGAAAAGAAAAGGAAAGGAGGAGACGATGTGTATATTTTATGAATTGGGTGTACTTTTCTAGGTTTGAATACTTGAGTAGTGAAACAATACATTATACAATAAAATAATAAAATAATTTATTAATGACTCTTCATTTTCTAATACATTATTATTTTTTATATAAAATTATATAATTATATATTAAATAATATAAAAGTTAAATAATATAGTCAGAGTCGGGTGATACACGAGTTTTCTAATCCCCGCTTTCTACGAGATACCCCGTTAACAGATTCAAATTGACATCCTAGATGCACCCTCTAATGATATGCAGCAACGAACTTGTTTCAGTTATAAATTAAAATATATATCTTAAAGAACACGTTAAGAATAAGTTATGAGCAGCAATAAGATGGAGAGAAGAATATATAGAAACATGAGGGTGCGAGGAGAGAAAGGGTGAAGATAGAAATATGGAGTAGATTAGAGAAAGGAAGGAGGGAAGATATGACAGAGAGTTGTCTCACGAAATGCTACAAACCAATTGGTTCACTCATAGCAGCTGCTACAAACCCATTGGATCGAAGAGAAGAGCAGGTTGATTTGAATCTAGATCTCAAACGTTCAATCTGAGTGCTTCTTCAAACCATATATAATCACACTCAAAACCATGAGTCAAAAAATGGATACCCTCTAAAACATGAAACACGGGCAAAATAACCATTTATTTCTCTTTCTATTGCTTCAGTTTTGTTCTCTGGTTTTGATGTTTTTAGACATAAAGGGAGGAAGAAACATGTGGAATATATAACTCACAAAATCAAACAAAAAAACTAAACAACCATGTTTTTCATTCTCACTTTCTAACAATAAAAACTAAACAACCATGTTTTTCATTCTCACTTCCTAACAATATGTTGAAAGTAAAAGGTAGACAAAACTAAAATAGCAATATGTCATCATGACAAACTATATCTTTTTGGATTAGAGTCGCCACTCCCACACACAAATCTATTTAGACTAGCTAAGAAAAAGATAATCTGATATACTCCACTACAAGATTAAAGTCAAACAAACTAGATCAAGCATAAAAAGAAACACAAAAACTTTCTCCATACTAAAGTAATTCAAGAAAAAGGATAAAAAGGTTTGGAGGGGGATTGAAAATCACATTTTAACCACTCTACGGCTTGACTTCTTCACCGGTTTTGTCACCGGTTAAGCTGCTATTCGAAGAGTCTGCGGGTGGTTCAGGAGGTGAAGTAAGTCCATTCCCTTCTGTAAGATCCTCCTTTTTTTCTGCTGCATCCGGAATAGCTGATTCATTCGTCAAAGTTCCATCAAGGGATTTGGGCAATATGTCTGTTCCAACAGTTGTTAAATCATTGGACTTGCTGACCTGTAATTGAACAGGGTATTTGAAATGTTAAACCGGTAGGAGGGATCAATCAAATTGCAAGTTCTTCGATGTATCGTAGTATCCTCAATCAAGGTGTATTGAAACAAATTGAATGAGTAATTGTAAAGGTACCATCTCTTTTGTGAGCAATTGTTCCTTGGCTTTTTTCTCCTGAGTTGTCTTTTCGCGAGCCTCATAAAATCCAAAATCATCCAGAATGCAGGTTTTGCTTGAATACTCCTTGAAGATTTTGAGAATTTCAATACCCTTCTCAAACTTGACCTGCACAGGAATGTAGTTAAGCATTGTTTATTGAAAGGTGAATAGGGTTCATAGAAACAGAACAGATCTCTGAGTAAATAAATACCTCTTGAGTGTCTCTACTGTTTGTAACAGGTTTGTATTCATTGTTTTCTAGTGTTATGTGTCTCAACACATTATTTGGGATATCCTTTATGATATGCCACTTCACAGAAAAGCAACCAGTCCACCTGTCCTGCTGCCAATACTCTACAGTTCTGTCAAAATCAACTGGACTCACCATTTCTGCCAAACCAACAAACTGTCCACTAGTATTGACCTGTAACACAAATCCATTGAGGCAAAAAGTGGGATTTGTAAAACCAATAAAATATAAATTTTTTAAAGAAAATACTGAGGTGAATCGCTAACTCACCGAAAATAGCAAAAATATGGGACAGTCACCAGGCTTCTCCTTGGCATCCTGATATGCTGCATCTAGCTTCTTGTTGCCATTGGGGGTGCTTGTCCACACATTGTATTTCATACTTTTATGAATATCATCCTCGCTGTAAGATTTGATGACATAAAACTTAGCATCAGAATAACTCTCAGATAAATCTTCCCCGTTGAACTGTTGCTTGTTGGGAACTGGATGCACTTCTTTATTATCATCACTCTTGATAGGAAGGTCCTGACCCTTGAGTAATAATGTGACAGGTCCAAGACTTTTGACACTTTTATCATCAGAACTATTGGAACCTCTTGGTCCCTTGTTCAGCTCACCAAAGCCATCAGTGTTTTTTTTGACATGGTCAAAACCTCGGCCATAACTTGAGGTTTTAAACTTGTTATCATAAGAACCTGCTCTGGATCCATATGCAGTAGATCCAAAATTTGACCTAGCTCTGTATGTGTTTCCATATTGGCTGTACGCCGTGTTGCTTGGGTACATCCCATTAATAGCATATCCAGAAGACAGTCCCAGTCCAGATGAATGCATGGAACCATACATGTTCTGCAACTCAGGAATAATAAGGTCAATTTTGAATATTTTCTACTAATAGAACACAAATGTAGTGCACAAACAAAAATAGAACTGCCCTACTCTACTGTATAATAGGTGATGCATACAAGGAATCCTGGCAATGTGGTTAGATAGATGTGGAAATTATAAAAATGTGCATCATGACAACAATAATCATACCCATAATCACATATGATGAAAAATTAATATATAAATGAAAAGTTGGTTGAGGATAATAGAGTAAATTTTGAGAACTTAAGATAGGAAATTATAGCATACAAAAGAAAGTTCATGGTGAAGATACTGTGAAGTTAAATGTATGCAAGAAATGGGATGACAGAGTGAACATACTGTGAATTGTGGAAGTGGCTGGGGAAAATTGGTATTCCTTTGAGAGTTAAAATCTTTGGCAGGCATAGCTGGCGAAGATAATCCGAATTTTGCTCCATGTTTGGACTGCCTGTCGGAAAATAACGAGGGATCCGAAGGGTATGATGGCTGAGTCCCATGAGTACCTACTCTTAGATCTTGATATTCAGCCACGGGAAAGCCAGCCCTTTGGTAAGAATCATTTGACCCATTGTTATTTGAAGAATATCCATTTGTCACAGTAGAGGCGTTTCCTTTATTTATAACTGATGTAGGGACATGTTCAGCAGTAACATCAGTTGAAGTTTTCCCTCCATGACCATTTATTTTGTTGGCACCATATGTCCCATTGGCAGAAGCTGGAGGATGATAGTAAGAAGGATACTGGTACTGTTGGATCCCATAAATTGCTTCATCAGGTGGAAGGGATGGAGATGAACTGGGAGATGGATAGGATCCATATGGTGCATATCCATAACCTTGAGGGTACATGTAAGAACCACTATCTCCGTAAACACCCTGTTAGTCAGTCCAATAAACAAAAACTGGTTAAGAATGCTCAAGGATTCAGCATTGCTGTTAATTTATAATTCGATGTATGAAAATGGCAACAAACAAATCATATTAGCAATGATACGAGGAAAATCAAGATAAGAAACTACACTTAAAAGAACTTGGTACATGAAGGAAATAACTAGGGTTGATACATCCCATGAGGATTGTGCCGAATACCCCGACACTTTTCTGATTTGTTGGGTAATTACAACAACACCCTTTGCTTTATTGAGGATAGTGCTCATCCCTTTCACACCATTCTTGTTTGGGAAACTGCACCCAAGCCCTTTGATTCATGTGGTATGCCTTTCTTTTCTAGAGAAATTACTCATAGCTCCCCCCCTACTTTATGGAAAATCTCCTAAAAACAAAGGGAAGTGTAATTTACAAGACAACGGTTTTAGAAGTTGTGAGTGTTTCAGCTGAGGTTGCTGTCATAATCGCAAATGATGGCTGGCTCATCAAAATGATCAAACTAAAACCATATTCACTAAAAGGTCTAGGACTGGTGATCATCAAGAAAAATGTCATAAATAATGAAACAGAAACACATGCACACACAAACTTTAATCACTGCATTTAAAAGTAATCAGTCGAAGTAACTAGTAAGCAACAATCCTTGTCATTAATATTGAAGTCTTGCGATATTGTTCAACATTGTTCCAAAGAGGTCAACCCATTAGACCTTAACATTATTCAACACTGTTCCAAAGAGGCTAACCTCGTTACAAAAAACACTTAATTATTAAAAATTAAAAATAAATGCACACAATTATCATGAATTCCAGTAACCAGAATAAGGACATACTTGTGCCAGCCCGCCATTGGAGTTCACATAGCTGTTATAAGGATTCCATTCATAGTTGTTTTGCCCTTCATAACCTGCAGTTATAGACACTCTCGTTACCACATAATTTTTTCCATAAAAATATTTAAAAAATTCACAAATGAAAGTGTTGCCAATCGCGGAAAACAACAGTTTATTTAAATATCGCAATGCTACAGTGCTAATAGCGCCTTCTATAGCCATTATTTTGACAGCACTTAACTAGCGTATCGCATAACAAAAGTGGTTTCTTCAAATTCTGCTATGTCAAAAGTGCTGCTATTTGACAAGATTAAGAATAAACAACCTCCACATTATTCACTCAAGTCATAACAGCTTACCTTACCTCCATAATAGTATGCAGTAGAAGGGTGCACATGTGGCACAAAACTCGCATTTGGATTAAATGGCTTGGGCCCGTCATTAGCAGCACCATGTCCATTCTGTACATATGAATATATTATAAGAACAAATTAATAGACTACAATCCAAAAACACCAATGCTTAGTACACTGTTCAATCCTCACCTTAGGGGCCTCAGGAACCACAACCGTCCTAGACTCAGAATCTAAGGATATATTCTGTAGTCTCTCAGCAACTTCTGTAACAATTAGAGTAAAGGAAATCTATTTTCACTCAAAGAATCATTTCACAACCACAGGCATAAAAAAAACACTTACAATGAACAACAAAGAGAAAAAAAATACATGAAAGAGAAACAGTTCAAGCAGCTCAACACAGTTATACCCTTCATTAAAATTCAACAAAGAGAAACTATGGATGGTGTAGACGCCAAATATTTGAACTCAGACACATACAATGACATCAGTGTTACAATTGACTGTTGTCAACCATAAAATTCGATGCTATAGCGCCACTCAACTAGTGTATAGTAGGACAACAGCGTTCAAATTCCACTATACTACACTTGTCAAACATCAGCTATGGCGGGGGTTTTTACAATCACCATAGCAAATATTATAAAGTATGACGTCTCAAATTGGCGGATTATTGCTTTCAGCAAGCAATAACACTGCCACAGCCACTCTTTAACAACATTTACACACACATATATAGCCACTAAAAAGTAAAAATAAAAGTATAGTACACTATACTTGTCAAACATCAGCTATGGTGGGGGGTTTTACAATCACCATGGCGAATTTTGTGAAATATGGTGGCTCAAATCGGCAGATTTTTGCTTGCCACATTCCATAACACCGCTACATACACTATTTTACAACAATTACACCCACAAAAAAAAAAACACTTGCAAATTAGGGTTAAAAAGCCACAAAATAATCTGAACAAAATCAGCTTATATAAATTAGGTCAAAGACACAAATTTAACTCAACCATAGGTACACCACAGTCACCACCACAAAATCAAACTCATAAAAATCCCAAATTTCACTGGAATCAATAACACGCATAACTCAAGACCTAGTTTTTATAACGTATTACAACAAAATTCAAGAATTGAAATTAACCGTAGAAAACGAAACCCTAATCACATATATTCAAGAAATTGAACAAATCATACAAAAGAAATCAAAAAACAAGCATCGAGTAAAGCGAAAAGAGTGGGAGAGAAAAGAATACTTGAAGGGTCTGGTGAGGAAGCAGCTGACATGGTGAAATGAATCGACGACGACGACGCAGCCGATGAGAGAGAGTGAGAGAAAGAAAGATGAGAGAGAAAGTAGAAGAAGAAGTGTATTTATATAGTGGGTGGAGAAGCTTGGAGAAGGGGTCGGCGCTATAGCACCGTGAGTGTTGGGGTTTTGAACAACGCGACTCTATTCAAGAGATTTAAGCCCAATTTTTTCACTATTTCTTTAGGTTTAAATATGCTTACACTATTCCCATTTTCATTTTTTTTTTCTCATTGGTAAAATTGTTTTGTGGATTATGTATTTTCAATTTTTTTAAGTGAGGCTTGTATTGAAGGAAATATTTTAACTCATCTTATAGTTTTATAGTCCACTATATATAATTATAAAAATATTTTTAAATATATTTTTGCTACGTAATCATGCTTATATTTTGGTGGATGAGATCTTATGTAATAGTTAAGAACTAATTGGAAATACAACTACGGATGTAATTGTAATTGTATTTTCGAAAGTCCTTCAAATACACACAATTGTTAAAACTGAGAAACCCAAGCTAACACGCAGATACTAACCGAAAATATATTTATGGTAGGTCATGTAGTTGTATTTCTGGTTCGTGTTGGCACTTAGTTGCGCGTTGCCTCTTCTCTTTCCTCATTTTCAGAAAGATTTTGAAAAAAACACTCAACACACAAAAACCAAACCCTCTCAAACCCTATTATATCAAAATCAATCTATTTTGCGAAAAGCTCATCAGGAATCGTCAAGCATCAGATAAACTTCAATGTTCAAGCATATTCAAGTAAGAAAAATCACCACTTGTAAGTTGTTTTTGAGCTATTTGGAGTTTATGTAATTTAACCTACAAATTGTGTTTTAGGATAGAAAATTCATTTTTTTTAGTCTTTGCAATGTTATGAGTCATAAGAAACGTGTTAGGTACGTATTTTTACGATCAACGACCGTTTTTTTTATGTCATTGGGGCTGATCTTCGCTATTGACGTAGCATAAATGTTGTGGTTCGTATCGGAGATGCATTTCCGAAGTACATAAAAAACCGGAAATGCATATTCGAGTTTAGTCAGTCTGTATTTCTTTATTTTTTTTAATGTGAGTCTTATTTTTAATGTTTGTTTCGTTCTTCTACAGTAGTAATGACTGAGAGACCATATAGGTTAAGGCACAAAATGCTTGCACAATATGCTTATGTGCAGAGGGAAATGATTTAGGCATCATAGGTTTCTTCTGCCTCTGGACATGTTGTGTCGGATATGCCTACAACCTCTGGTGTTCGTGTTTCTAGACCTACTTCATTGTCCTCTCACAGTAGGCGGGGTTCTCTAATTCATTCATCCCCGTCTTCGTCCTCCTGTATACGCACTTCCTCACTGATGGTATTTGAGGTAGGAGAGATATCTAGTTCTCAAGTGACACTGTTGTACCCCAAAATTTGTCCTTTCGTTTCTCAAAGGATCGTCCTGGACCCTCGGGTTTGCTCCTATCAAGTTTTAAGTCTTGAATAACAATTTTTCAAGAAAGTCATTCACAAGGGCAAAATGGTCAAAAGCACACTGAAAAGTCAAACTTTGACTTTTGGATCAAAAATCAAGTTTCAACAATTATATTTCATCAAGACATGAAATTAATTCATCAAAATCAAAAGTTAGAAATTGCCTTGAAAAATCAAATTTCTAAATATTTAGAAAATTTTCTAAGTGTTAAGAGAATATGATACTTCAGAACTTTTGGGCCAGCCTTCACGCAAGTGCAATCAGAATTTGCAAACATGGTTCAGAACACGCTGCTTCAATCAGAACATATGGAAGCGGTGTTCTTCGGTCAGAACATGATTCTTCAGCACATGGAGGTTTTACTTCTGATCTTCTGCAATAAGAATATCACCAAATCTAAAAACCTTGTTTGAGCAGCCTACTGCACTGCTATAGCACAGTCCTGCAACCAGCTGCTACAACATTCTAAATTGCTGTTGATCTAGTCCACGCCTACATTCTTCTCAAATCCTATATTTGCACCCAATTAGCATACAAAAACCGTGGTTAAAAAGTAATGGAACAGTATACTAAAAAAGGTTTAAATCCCGTTTGTTTTTCCCCCTAAAACCACAACAAATTCACCTATAAATAAGTTTCTCCATCACACTTTCAAGGAGCTAGCTTTTGGAGAGAGAGAGAATTATTAAAGAGAGAAAAGGAAACAGTAAAAACCTTTGGAAATCCTAAATAAAACCTTTGTTCTTCCCTTTGAATCAAAGAACATAACCATTGTTCCGTTTCTCTCACTGACTATAGAACATCTGAAGGCAGCAGCTCAAGTTCCAAGCACACACTCCTATTCAAGGTAAGTCTTTCTGACTTTGCATGTTTTCATTCAGAACATCATTAAATATGTAAATGTCATAGTATTGATGCTGACCATATCATTGCATAAGTAGACGAAACTATGGATCAGAACTTCTTGAATAAAGCTAGGCTCAAAATTAGAACTTCTATAAACTGTTGTGCTTTTATCCTTCTGATTTGCTGTTAAGAACTGAATAAATTGCTGATGTGCTGATTAATATGAGGAAAGGGTTGAAATGTAACACAGAACTTATGGGTTCTCTTCATTGTTTTAACACAAAAACTTCTAGGATTTCCTATTGTTTTAACAAAACTTCTGACTTTTCACCCACTGTTTAACACGACACAGAACTTTTGACATTTTGCTTACTGTCTAAACACCACCCAGAACCTCTATTTTCTTTCCCTCTAACGTTTCTTGCAGGACCTCAGAGTGTATCAATCCAGAACTTCTGGTTCCCACTGACGTTTCTTTGAGTCACAGCGCACCTGGCATCAGAACTTCTGATCCCTTTTGTTCTGCTTGCAGCAGCATGCTGATTCTATCTCTCATTATTCTCCTTTTTTATCAGGTTCAATATTAATACCCTTTTTATTAATATAAAAAAGATATAAAAATATTTTCTTTTTTTATTAATTAATTTATTTATTTTTTTGATTCATTAAGACAAAAAACCACTTTCAAAACAAGTCTTTTTTCTTCTTATATTGTACATTTCAATATGGTTGTAATAGTTAAATAGGATTTAAATTCTTGCAATCCCCCATTTGTAAATTTGTACCCCCGTCCCTAAATGATATAATAGCGTAGGACCTTTACATTTCTGCAATTTATTGTTTTAAAATATAAATGCTAGTAATTAGGGTGTGTATGGCAAGACATGAAATCAACAAATAGATAACTTTAATCAAGACTAAATGCATGTAAATCAAACACACTTGCACACTAGCACCCTTAGGGTAATCCCATTTTGTTGCCTATCGGAAAAATAGTCATGTCCCTCGAATATGGGCGTTTTAGCAAAGACCCTCGATAAAAGATCATAGTCCCTCGATGACCCTCGATGTTGCCTTCGGTAAACGATCTAGTCCCTAAAATGACATTGCTAAAACGTCCCATAAGTTGCTTTCTATGACTATACAAAAAGGCCTCGTGCCCGTCCCTTCACATCCAACGATGGGGCTTCTTACCAAAACAATGGTAAGGTAGCAACATCTAAAGGAGGAGGAAAAGAATATTTAAGACCTTTTGAGTAGGTAGATTCGCTCCTAGTTGCTCGCTTGCTCACAACCAAAAAACATTTTATACACCAACACTCTCATTTTGAAACACTTTCAAAAGACAACACTTTGTACTCGTTCTTATAGAAACGAGAGCCATTACAAAGACACCTTTTTAAAAATCACTTTCAAAAACACATTCCACAAACACTTCTTTGAACTATTTTCGAAACAACACTTTGTACGCGTTCTTATATAAACGAGAACCATTACAAAGACATTTTCAAAATACTTTCAAAACCCACACCACAAGCACACATTCAAACAAAAGCAAGTGATCTAGCAAGCAACTAAGATCCCGTAGATAACTACGGATGAAAAGGGTGCTAATACCTTATCTTTTCATAATCTACCCCCCGAACTCAGAAAATATCTCTAAAGGTCTTTCATGTTCTTTTCAACCTTTCCTTATGGGAAAAGAAAAGTCGGTGGCGACTCTTGTTATCCGCACAATTGCGATCAAACGCAAAACAACCAAGTCAGTTCTCCCACCGCGTTACAGAACTGGCGACTCTGCTGGGGAAGTTCTTAAAAGTGGGGTTACCTTAAGGCTAGATCATCTTTACTTGCTTTCATTGTTTGACTTGTTTGTTTTACATTATGGTTCCTTGTTTAGGCTTGCTTTGATCCTCTACCCGAATCTGGGACACCTTTTTAGGTAAGTAGCAATAGATTGTGGAAACTGTATGGCATAAACCGATATGGTTGAAACAATGGCTACGTTAGTGTGACGCATTTGTGGGTACCGGTATCCCTTGTGTTGAATCAAGGAGAATACGGGGCCGCTGAGTGGCGTCATGAAGCACTAATTGACCTTAGAACCTTAATTGAACAACTTGGCCATTAGGAAGTAATGAGATAACCGGATTCGGTGGAAAGCTGAAAATTGGTTGATACTCGATACTATACTCATTGAGATTGGACTTTTGGGATATCTCGGCCGCAAGAAAATATTGATTGTGCTGAGACAATGCCTAAAAGAAAGGTCAATGATATTGAGATCCTTTAGAACCCGATTACTATTACTATGACAGGTTTGAGCCAACTAAAACTTCAAGAGGGTACTTACCTATAAGACTCCATGCAAGCCTAAACCTAAGGACTTATTTTGCCTTGTGTGTATATGCTTACTTGTACATAACATCATAAACATCATAACATCATACATATTATCACTAACCATTTTAAGGATTTAGGAATTTATCTTTGTTTTTGTTTTGTAGGCCATGAACTCCGTCCGAAGGAACATCATCCGAATCAGCTTCGTGAAAGCACACCCTCAGATCCAAGAGTTAGCATCAAGGGTGCCCGAAGATTCTCCTTTTACCAAGAAATATTTGTCGACTCCTCAGTTTGGCTACCTCCAATTTCCAAG